AAATCCAAGAAGAGCCAGTGCTTCAGTTCGAGTCCAAAGGTGAAAAAAGACAGATATCCCAGCTTAAGCAGTCAGGTGGGAGGAAATTCCCTCTTACCCAGTGGAGGTCAGCCTTTTCATTCTATTCAGACCTTCAAGCAGTTGGATGAGGGCCACCCACATTGGGGAGGGCATTCTGCTTCACTTGTCCCACCCATTCAAATGTGAATCTCATCCAAAAATACCCTCACAGAAACATCCAGGATAATGTCCGACCAAATATCTGGGCACCCTGTAGCATAGTCAAGTTCACAAGTAAAATGAACCATCACACCTAGAGTTGGTGAAGGCCTAGTGGTGACGTTTGAACTAAGAGTGGGAATATTGGGGGAAGAGATTTTGAGGTAGAGGGAATAAGTTCTGAAGTAAGAATAATCCATAATATTCCAGGAATTGTAGAAGGACCAGTGTGGTTGGAAGGAGTTGAGCAAGGAGGAAAGGAATCTGGAGACGGGGGCAGGGCTACATTGTGTGTGGTTTGTAGACTGCGATTAGAAGTTTAGATTTTATTCTAAGTAAAGTGGGAAGGTATTAGAGTGATACAAAAAAAAGATCAAGGAGCAGACAAGCCTCTCGGGCTGCTTCCCGAGGAGATGGGTTCAAGACGGCGGAGTAGAAGGACGTGCACTCACTCCCTCTTGCCAGAGCAATGGAATCACAACTAACTGCTGAACAAACATCGACAGAAAGACACTGGAACTCACCAAAAAAGATACCCCACATCCAAAGACAAAGGAGAAGCTGCAATGAGACAGTAGGAGGGGTGCAATCACAATAAATCAAACAAGACAAGGATATCCACTCTTGCCACTATTATTCAACATAGTTTTGGAAGCCCTAGCCACGGCAATCAGAGAAAAGAAATAAAAGGAATACAAATTGGAAAAGAAGTAAAACTGTCACTGTTTGCAGATGACATGTTACTATACATAGATAATCCTAAAGATGACACCAGAAAACTACTAGAGCTAATCAATGAATTTGGCAAAGTTGCAGGATACAAAATTAATGCACAGAAATCTCTTGCATTCCTATACACCAATAACGAAAGATCAGAAAGAGAAATTAAGGAAACAATCCCATTCACCATTGCAGAAAAAAGAATAAAATACCTAGGAATAAACCTACCTATGGAGATAAAAAAAACCCATACTCAGAAAACTATAAGACATTCATGAAAGAAATCAAAGATGACACAAACATGGAGAGATATACCATGTTCTTGGATTGGAAGAATCAATATTGTGAAAATGACTATATTACCCAAAGCAATCTACAGATTCAATGCAATCCCTATCAAATTACCAATGGCATTTTTTATGGAACTAGAACAAAAAAAATCTTAAAATTTGTATGGAGACACAGAAGACCCCGAATAGCCAAAGAAATCTTGAGGGAAAAAAATGGAGCTGGAGGAATCAGACTCCCTCACCTCATACTATACTACAAAGCTACAGTAATCAAGACAATATGGTACTGGCACAAAAACAGAAATATAGATCAACGGAACAGGATAGAAAGCCCAGCAATAAACCCATGCACCTATGGTCAACTAACCTATGATAAAGGAGGCAAGGATATACAATGGAGAAAAGACAGTTTCTTCAGTAAGTGGTGCTGGGAAGAAACTGGACAGTTTCTTCAGTAAGTGGTGCTGGGAAACTCAAAATGGATTCGAGACCTAAATGTAAGACTGGACACTATAAAGCTCTTTGAGGAAAATATAGGAAGAACACTCTTTGACATCAATCACAGAAAGATCCACCTCCTAGAGTAATGGAAATAAAACCGAAAATAAACAAATGGGACCTAATGAAACTTCAAAGCTTTTGCACAGCAAAGGAAACCATAAACAAGATGAAAAGACAACCCTCAGTATGGGAGAAAATATTTGCAAATGAATCAACGGACAAAGGATTAACCTCCAAAATATATAAACAGCTCATGCAGCTCAACATTTAAAAAAACAACCCAATCAAAAAATGGGCAGAAGACCTAAATAGACATTTCTCCAACGGAGACATACAGATGACCAAGAGGCACATGAAAAGCTGCTCAACATCACTAATTATTAGGGAAATGCAAATCAAAACTACAATGAGGTATCACCTCACACCAGTTAGAATGGGCATCATCAGAAAATCTACAAGCAACAAATGCTCGAGAGAGTGTGGAGAAAAGGGAACCCTCTTGCACTGTTGATGGGAATGTAAATTGATACAGCCACTAATTGATACAGTATGGAGGTTCCTTAAAAAACTAAAAATAGAATTACCATATGACCCAGCAATCCCACTACTGGGCATGTAGCCAGAGAAAACCATAATTCAAAAAGACACATGCACCCCAATGGCCATTGCAGCACTATTTACACTAACCAGTCATGAAGCAACCTAAATGCCCATTGACAGATAAATGGATAAAGAAGATGTGGTACATATATACAATGGAATACTACTCAGCCATAAAAGGGAACGAAATTGGGTCATTTGTAGAGACATGGATGGACCTAGAGACTGTCATACAGAGTGAAATGTCAGAAAGAGAAATACAAATATCATATATTAATGCATACATGTGGAATCTAGAAAAATGGTACAGATGAACTGGTTTGCAAGGCAGAAATAGAGACACAGATGTAGAGGACAAATGTATGCACAGCAAGGGGGGAAGCGGGGGAAGGGATGAATTGGGAGATTGGGATTGACATATATGCACTAATATGTATAAAATAGATAACTAATAAGAACCTGCTGTATAAAGAAAAATTAAATTAAAAAAAAAAAAAAAGATCAAGGAGATGAAATGAAAAGGGTGTGTGTGTGTGTATGTGTTTTTGTGCGTGTGTGTGTTGGGGCAGGGAGACCGATTGCAAGGTCAAGATGATGGCAGCTTGAATTAGGTTGGTGGCTGTAAAGGTGATGGTCAGAGGCTGGGTATATTTTGGAAGTAGAGCCTGAAGGACTTGTTAGTGGATTGCATGTGAGACGTGAAGATAATAGATGAATCAAATATTACTTCTAGATTTTGGCCTGAGTAACTAGATGGTTTGGTACCATTTATCAAGATGGGGGAATGTTTGCTGGGAGTTGGAGTGAGGAGTTGAGTTTTGGAGAAAATCAGAAGTTCTCTTTTGGCCTCATTAAGTTTGAGTTTGTTGCCTCTGACTAGAACTCAGGCCTTCTAACCAGGACAGGTGTTTTTCCTACAATGCCACACTATTCATCTGTTGACTGAAAAAAAGATGCACGACATGAGAGCTGTGGGTTAAGTTTTATTTGGGGCAAAATGAGGGCTATAGCCCGGGAGACAGCCTCTCAGATAGCTCTGAGGAACTGCTCCAAAGGGGTGGGGGTGGGATCAGTATATATGTGATTTTGGTGAAGGGGGAGACGTGCAATCAAGCACACATGTTGGCACAGGGTCACTGCTAATTTTGAGAAGCAGATGTTAATGATTTTAGTGCTTTTCTAGATAGGAGAAAATGCAAGAAATTGGGCTCATAAAATCTTCCCCTGAAAATATCTAACTATCTGAAGGCCTGCTCTGCCAGTTTTTCTCAGAGCACAGAGTGCCTCATTCCTGATCTCTGCCCTGAACTCCTTTCAGGGTGTGTTGAAGGTTAACACCTGCAGCGACTACATTCTTATAGAACCAGATGGCGAGCGACAATTTTTAGTCCGCATATCCATTCAAAATATATGTATTGAGCGCCTGTGTGCAAATTTCTGTTCTAGATGTTGAGGAAAGAGCCCTCAGCAAGTCAGACACAGCGGAACTAGCAGCTGTTTCTTGAGTCTCTGATGTGTGCTGGGCATTGTGCAGAATACAAAATGAATCAGACACATCTCCATCTCACCAAATGCTTTCAACTTAATTGGGTAGTTTAGGCAGAGAGACAAATAAATAACAGTTGAAAGCCATAAATACATTTATCGAGTACCTATTATATTCCAGGCACTCTGCTAGCCTTGCCACATGCTGGGAGTATAAAGATGAATTAAGATGCAGGCCTGTTCCCCAAAAACTTACACTCCAGTGGAAGAGACAGACACCTTCAAGTAGGGGAATGACTAAATGATTCTAATCCAATGTGGTCAATGACAGGGCACTGTGAACGCACCAATATGCTGAGCAGAGGCCATCATCCTGCATGAGGGTGGCCACCTAGAGGAGATAATAATTCAGGTGAGTCTTAAAGCATGAGTCAGACCAAGAAAGGTTGAAGGCATTCCCCGCTAAGGGACAGCACAAGAACAGAACAGCGAGCTGCCAGGGAGTTTTCAGCAGAGAAGTGAATGGCTGGGCTTGCATTTTGTAGCTTCATATATGTAGGTCAGTGGTGGTTGAAATGGGGGCGGGGGGAAGGGGAGGCAGGGAAGGACTGGAGGCAGCAGTGCCAGCCAGGAGGATGTGGCTAAGGATAACATCTAAGAGAGGAAAGATGGGAGCCAGAATGAGTGACAGGTGGTGTTCAGCATGGCGAGGGTTCTGCCCTCCTGCAGACCTGGAGAGTCAGCGCGGCTTTCACCAGTGAGGGGCACTGAGAAGGGCTGAAAGGAGGACTTGGGGGACTCAGCCCTAAAGTAGATCAAGAGGCTGGCAGAGAAGTTTCAAGTGGAGGTGATAACAACCAACAGGGACTTCCCTTCCCTGATTAGCATTTCACGACGTCATGTAATCCTCAGGGTGCTGTTAGGCACACACCCCATTTCAAACGCAAGGAAATGAAGGGTCAGAGAGGTTGAGTGACGGGCCTGAGGTCAGACACTGCACAGTGGTGGGGTTTTTATTTTGTCTCCCCTGCTGTAATGGGTCAGAACCGAGACAACACCACACTGAGAGAGATCCTTGGCTTTATACCCCAAGACCCCAAGGGGCAAGAATGAGCATGAGGCTGGGCAGAGCCTGCGGAGTTCCTGCCAGGCACTCACGCGTCTTCCAGCCCAGCGGTTCCGCCCTCACTCTCCAGAGACGTGTCTCTTGCCTTCTCTGACCCCGGCAGTCCTGACAGCCGTCAAGCTCATCACCTCTGAGATCAGAAAGACTGGGAAGTAGACATTAGTGGCTGTGAGCTGAGGAAACACACAGAAGAGCAATTAAAGTGGTGCATGGGGGTAAGCTTGCCTTTAATGGTTTGCAGCTGCAGAAAGCATTCGCCTCCCGCTTCGGGCTCTGCCCTGCTGCTGCGGCTGCCTGTCTGTATTTCGCATCCTGACCAATTAGATCCCCATGTGTGCTGCAGGCGTGAAAAAATAGAAAGTGAATAATCCTTCATTCTCTGCATAGCGAGCAGCTTTGATCCTCTGGCGTGGGGGCCCTGTTCCATCAGAAAGTGCACCTCTTCTCAGTTTTCTTTTTTTTTTTTTAACTCAGTTTCCTTGTTTCAAAATGACATTAACCTCCACCCAGAGACCTGTGAAATGACCACAATTCATCTTCAGACCCCTGTGATCAAAGCTGGGTTGGGGTTTTTCTTCATCTCTTTTTTAAACTCTTGCTACACAGCCCTTCTTTCCTCACATTGGTTTGCTGCCAATGTTTCCAGGCTGAAATCAAAAGGAATCATCTATTAATATCAGGCTCCTGCAACAAGGGCACCATTGTCTGCTTCATTGCAGAGTACCTATGGTCCTCTGGTGAGAGAGAGAGAGAGAGAGAGAGAGAGAGAGACGGTGTGTGTGTGTGTGTGTGTGTGTGTGTGTGTGTGTGTGTGTGTGTGTGTGTGTGTTCAGATAAGCAGTTTCAAAATGAGCAGGAAGAGAGGGAGTTAATCCTGGTTTATTTCAAATGTGAGATGAATCTCAGTGACTCTGGCTATAGATTCAAATACTGATCGCCTGTTCGACTTTGAAAGCATTAAGATCTCAGAAGCATATTTGGTAGGAGACCTATTTTAATGCTATAAATAACGTTGTGGTGAAGCTGCTTGTGGTGGTGTAGGGGTACGGGCAATAAAGGAGGTGGTGGTGAGGAGGAAGGGGAGCTGGAGGTGGTAGGGATGGTACTGGTGTTGGTGTGAAGAGATGCAGGTAGAGCAGGCGGAGGGTGTGCAGGAGCTGGGTGGTCATAGTGATGATGGTATCAAAGAAATGGAGGATGGAGTGGCTATAGAGGTAGTGAAGGGGAAAGTAGAGGAGATGGTTTGGTGGTGAAGGTGAGAGAGGTAATGGAGGGAGTGGAGGAGGAGGTGAAGGATACGGTCATGGTGGGAGTAGAGGCAGTGGTGGTGAAGGACATGGAGGAGGGGGTGCAGGATACGGTGATGGTGCTGCTGGTGGTGGAGGTGGTGGTGGTGATGGAGGTGGTGGTGGTGGAGGTGGTGATGGTTATGATGGTGGTGGTGGTGGTGGTGGAGGCGGTGATGGTTATGATGGTGGTAGTGTAGGTGGTGGTGGTGGTGATGGTTATGTTGGAGGTGGTGGTGATGGTGGTGGTGGAGGTGGTGATGGTGGTGGTGGAGGTGGTGGAGGTGGTGATGGTGGTGGTGGAGGTGGTGGAGGTGGTGATGGTGGTGGTGGAGGTGGTGGAGGTGGTGATGGTGGTGGTGGAGGTGGTGGAGGTGGTGATGGTGGTGGTGGAGGTGGTGGAGGTGGTGATGGTGGTGGTGGAGGTGGTGGAGGTGGTGATGGTGGTGGTGGAGGTGGTGGAGGTGGTGATGGTGGTGGTGGAGGTGGTGGAGGTGGTGATGGTGGTGGTGGAGGTGGTGGAGGTGGTGATGGTGGTGGTGGAGGTGGTGGAGGTGGTGATGGTGGTGGTGGAGGTGGTGGAGGTGGTGATGGTGGTGGTGGAGGTGGTGGAGGTGGTGATGGTGATGATGGTGGTGATGGTGGTGGTAGTGGAGGTGGTGGTGGTGGTGGTGGTGGTTATGATAGTGGTGGTTATGATAGTGGTGGTGGTGGTTATGATGGTGATGGTGGTGGTGGTAGTGGAGGTGGTGGTGGTGGTGGTGGTGGAGTTGGTGGTGATGGTGCATATAAAGGAAGTGGAAAAGGAAGTAAAGAGGTGGTGTGGGAGGTGATGGTGGTGGAGGAGGCGGTGAAGGGTGAGCAGAGTTACTGAAAACAAGAACCAGCTGCTGTCTGTGCTTCCATCATCCTGTCTCAGCAGATCCCACAAGCTGGGAAGGCTCAAAAGCTTACCCCATGAATCCTCGGTTTCACCCAGGTGTATGTAAATCTCTTCCTCCTGCTTCACTGGGCAGGTTTTGTGTGTTGGTCACTCCCAGCTGAGGGCTGCTTGGATAGCCCTTGTTGGAAACAGCTCTCCCTGGATCAGTATCTCATAGACGTAGGTCCACATCATCCAAGTCCATGACATGCATCCACTGCAGTGTAAACCTTCTGGGACTGGCAGGTAGAGGCAGGGAAGCGGTGGGGTAGAGGTCAGCTGGGTCACCCAGATTGAGTATGCTTAGGGCTCTTGAGTGAACTGCATGATTCAGTAAGAAAAAAGAACTGGGAGTCCTGGGGCCTGGGGCCTAGCCCTGCCTCTGATAGCTGTATGGCCTCCAATGGGCCACTTTCCGCTCCATTCCCCAGTCTCCCACTGTGTGAAATGAGATCATTGAATCAGAAGAGTTCTGCCAGCTCTGACCCTTGTCTTCTATTTTGGAGAAATTAAGGCAAATATTAGAGCTTTGCTTGAGTTCCATCCTGACTTTCTGAGGATGGAGTTTTATTTCCCATTTCTTCAGTTTGTGTCCTTTTCTGAAGGCAGAACAGAGTGGCCCTTAATTTACCTGTGTCAGCCTTGGGTAAGTGGGTGGGTTACATGACCCAGTGCCCATTATCCTCAAGCCATCACCACAACCAGGTTCAGATCAAAGTCAAACTCATTCTTCCCATACCTGCCTTAGAGGAAAGGTCACAAGTTCTGGTGAGAGGGTTCCAAAGTGGCCTGTTATCACCTGTCATTGCACATTGCCAGAGATGAGAAATGCAAGTCAGAACCTAGAATAAAGCTGGACTCTTCCAGACCAGAGAGTAAGCAATTGACCTTGGTCTAAGGAAGCTGGCAGAACTGGAGCAAGGGAGGGCATGGGGCAGGAAGGGCAATCTAGGGGGCAGATTCTTTGCTGCTGATCAAGAGTCAGGACAGTTGCTGGTAGTGAACTTTTCCACCAAAGGACAAAATTGCCCTTGTCAGGATGCGGCGGTGTGGCAGGAGCAGTGGATTTGTAGTCAAAGACTTGGCATTGCAGCTTCTGAGACTTTGAGTACATAGCTTCCCTTTTCTAGACCTCAATTTCCTCCTTCCCGTTGTAATGGGACAATAATAACGCCAGCACCAATGTTGCCCTGAGGGTAAGATCACTTTGCAAACTGCTCAATATTTGATAAGTGTTAAAGGATTTTTATTCCTATAGCTCCCCTTGACTTTGAACTTGACTTGATGGGGTAGCTAGGAGGAAAGGTGAGCTGGATGGGAGCTGTTCTGACACACCTGAGCAGCCTGCGGCCATTGCTGATTTAATTACAAATTTCCAGCTGAGAGGGCACCACTTAGGCACCTGTAATTGAAATGTTCTCAGAGGGGCACTGGCTGTAACCCCATTTGAATGCCTCAAAAGATGTAATTAGCCAACTGAAGAGCCAGGCCTTGAAAAGAAGGGACACAACATTTCCTGAGTATCGACTACATGTCAGGCTGGGTGCCTTTCACGGATAATTGAGGTTAATTCTTATAAGGTAGAAATTATGATCTTTGCTTTATAGATGAGGAAACTGAGGCTTGGAGAGATTAAGTGAAGTGCCCAAAGTCATAGAGCTGAATCTAAATTCAAACCCAGGTCTGTCTGTCTACATCGCCATCATGCCATGGTGACGTCTTACCAAAACAAGTTGAAATTTTTCTCTGATTGATTTTTAAATAAGTCTATCATGGCTTGCCTGACTCTGGATCCCCAGAGTTGACACTGGTTTCTGAAGGCCAGCTCCCCTGACCACGATCAGCCACCAGGGACGGTAGGAGAAACAGTACGAAGGAAACCTTGAGAACTATTTCCCAGCATTCATTTCATTCCTCTCAGAAGGGGAATCTAAAGGTGCCTCCAAAAAAAGCAAAGGAAAAAAAAAAAAGCCTTCCTGGACAAACTCCAAGGGGAAGGAACTTTGTTGTTCTTGGTTTTATTTGCTCGAGGGCAAGAACAGGATTGCTTAAAAGCTTTGTAAATGGCACACAGGTGATGGGGTCTGGCTTGCTGGTGCTGGTGGCACTCAGGATATGGCAACCACGGGATGCTTAGTGAAGGGGCTCAAACATCCCTTCCATCTCCTGGGTCCTAAGATCATTCAGGTTCAGAGCGGCGACACTAAGTCAGAAGGAAGAGGATATGTGATGTGCAGGAGCTTCTGTTTGGATGGAGATGGAAGCATGTAGCACTTTGCTTGTTCCGCCCTGTTGAAAGGCTCCACTGCCCTCTTTTCCACATCTGGATCCTTCTCATCCTTTGGGTCTTAGTTTAAATGGTACCTCCTCAGAGACGCCTTCTCAGATGATCAGATCCGAAGGCTCTCTTCTCCTAGCTCACCTTCCTTTCCCAGCAGAGGTGCACTGGTCACAATTTGTAATGATACGTTTAGTCATTTACCTGAGTCAAGTCTGTCTCCACACCAGACTCTTAGACCCACGAAGACGGGCACCACCAGGACGGTCTATTTCTTCACCATGTTTTACTGAGTGCCCAGTACATGGTAGGATGCATGGATAAGTGGAGCTGTTAGAACAAAGGAGTTCTTATGCGTGAAGGGGTGAGCTGCGTGGGAAACCTAAGTATATGGAAGGAAGGGAAGGGAAGACCCAATTCTAAGCAGTTTTAAGGATGAGAACATTTATTGCAGCACCTAACGAGGAGCCTCGCAACAGGCGCTTCCAGAACTGGCCCCACAGTTGCAGGCTGTCCTTGTAGACAGTGGGATTAAGAAAGAACATACATCTTCACTAATTAAAGAAAAGTTTTGAATTGCAATTGTTCCCCAGTTCATTGACGTAATGGTAAAGCTTCATAGTTCAGAAATGCTAAGCCATTCGTTAGACATCTGCTGTGAAATTAACCCCCAATCCCTGCAGCTGAGACATTAGACCTGGGCCCTTTTCCTGGAAGAGACTAAGTTAAAGAGGTTCGTGTATGGAAACCACTGGGGAGCGTCACCTATAAATGGCTGGGTGGTGAGACTTAAGAAGGACTAGGAGCCTCTCCTTTCCCATTCCCTACCCCCAGCCTTGGCCCAAGTCTTCCTGTTAGATTTCAGAAATTCCTTGATTATTGTATATTCCTTGGATTGTACACCTGGTTGCTTAATTGGCCTCTCCATGGGCTGTCTAATAGATCTCTTGAACTTAAAGCATTTAAAATCAATTCTTGGCTACCTCTACCCCTATGAATTTGCTTCTTACCCAGTCTTCTCCATATTGGGAACCGTACCACCATTCACCTCTTCTCAAGCCAAAATTTATGAGTCTTTCAGGCTTTGTTGCTTACTGCCTGCAGAAATCTCTGAAGCAGGACTGTCTCTCTGCTTGGAGAGCTTGTGGAAACTCAGGAAAAATGCATACAAATTTATACTTTAAAAATTGTCCTGCCATAAGACTGAGGCTCTGCAACCAGGGAAAATCTGCATCTGTCTGAGTCTTGACTTTACCTGGACAAATCGCCACCGCTTTAAGCCTCATTCCTCATCTGTAAAGTAGGGAAAATTGTAGTAGAGACCACTTCATGGATATATATGCAATATATTTAATATATGCAAATATATTTGCATGCAAAATACTTAGCACAGGGTCTGACACATGGCAGATGCTCAATAAATATTAGCTATGATTTTAATAATATATGATGTTAGTTATAGTTATAAAATATACTGTTAATTATGATCCCCTAACTTAGTGATCATATAGGTTTTATGGAAGGTGGTCCTTCCAGTGCTGCTAAGCCTTTTCCACCTACCCTGGCCTGTGAACGGGGCTTGGCGAGGCCGGCAGTGTTTTCATGCTCCCCGCAGAGCTGGTGCAAGTCCAGTCACGACTTCTCCCGTCAACCTTGTCAAATCATAAAGAATGATAATCTGTCCTTGGAGGTTCCTACTTTCCTTGTGGCAGCTTCTGAATTATATCTCTCTTGTTCAGACAGATTTTTTTTTTTTCTTTCTTCCCTCTACCCTCTCTCTTCCCCTCCAAAATACTACAAGTAAATATCATTTATATTGATTCTTTTTTCAACCTACCCTCTGGGGAGCCCATTTCCACCCCCTGAAAATCTGGGAGGCCAGCCTCTGATTATAATTTTTCCTAATGCTAAGTCAAATTTTTGTTTGTTGTGGCAATCTTAAATCTTTTTGAAAAACAGGCTCAAGTCTTTGGGACAGACTCTGACACGGGCTGTGTGCACACGCTGATGACAGAAGGGTGGAGCCAGGAGGAGAGCAAGGCTTCCACTTGTGAGCTTGGGCAAAGGATGAAACTCAGAGAAGGAAAGGAGGGGAGAAGGGGAGGATCCCCGGGCCTGAGGAGAGAGAGACAGACAGAGACAGATCCACCGGATGAGGATCTGGGGAAAATGACACAAGGCCAGACTGCCTGTGCACTTTTCCGACTAAACTAAGAACATATTTGACATGAGAAAAAAAAAGTGTGTGTAAGGAAAATGGCCTTAATGAATGAGGTAGTTGCATCTTTCCAAATTGAAAGCCAGACCCAGGAAATTTCATTCAGGAATTAAATGCATAGTAAGGCTGATTTCTTCCTGATTTTAAGTTGTTCTGTAGATT